TTTTTTTTTATCAGAACTTTCTTTGTAATTATTTTGCAAAGCTCTGAAAAAAGAGCACAATAATATGAAATGGACACTGTGGGTAGCCAAGGATTTTATTATGTTATTATTTTATTTCATATTGAAAGCAGAAATCAGTTATATTCAAACATAATGTTTGCAAGTGTAAAAGAAAATAAAAGCAGCTAAAAAAATTTTCAAGTAATAATGTTCCTCACCGGGTGTGGATCTCCAGCATTTCTTGACAATATAAAAAGTCTAAGAACTTCTGAGAAATTTGCCTCATTCAGCTCCACCTTGGCTAATGCAACCCCTAACGTTGTAAAAGACTGTTGAAAGATGACAAAAACGCCAGTCACAATTTAATACTACATTTATTATGATGCTGCACTTGACAAATTCATGTTCACTTGGTAAGAGCCAATGCATTGACTGCATTTTTTTACTAGTTGGTGATTTACAACTTTAGTATCTGTTAGTGCCTGTTAGAATAGATCCCATTTTGACATAAGGCAATATAATTTGACTGAACTTAAACATATTAACTAATCCAGAGTTAAAAAAAGGAATATCGCTGAAATTGAGACATGTTAAAGACTTCAACGGAAGGGACAAGAAATACATTGCAGACCAAACTTTTTTTAACTCAACTGCTCTGGACAGAGTAAAGAAGACAACATGCACTTTTTTTGCCAAAAACTATTTTAATACTCACATTGGGTCCCTCACATCCTGGATCCTCTAAAGCAGAGATAAGTAGACTTTGACACAGAGGCACCAGAACATCCTCACTGCTGTCATTTAACAGGGATGATTGCATCTCCCACAAAGAAGGGATCTCAGAAGAATCTGAAGACAAAAATAAAATATTCAGGGCAACACTAATCATGGTGAGGGTGTAGGGAGTGGTTATCATTCTGGGGCAGATTTGGGGGGAGGGGGCAGATTGGGTGGCTAGCAACCCATTTTTGGAGAAGCAAAAATAAAACAAAATTGATTATGGCAGAAATAAAGGCAAACTCTCTGGACAGGTACCTCATTGTAATTTCTACTTTGTGGTATAGCTAGTATTTCTAGTGTAACAAGTTTTAACTAGGTTCCAATTCTCAAACTGAAACATTTGGAGAGCATGCGTCATGGATTCTGCAACCCCAAGGTACCAGCCATCACCCCNCCCCCCCCCCCCTCCCCGCCCCCTTGTTAAATCTTGGATCTGCCCTTGTCATCTATTTCAACTGAGCTTTAAGGAGCTCCAATTTTCCTGGACTTACATTTGGTAATTAAGCTTGGCATATCATTTTTTTTGTCAGTTCTAAGAATTTGGTCATGCTTCAATAAAAAGACAATCTCCCCCAACTGACAGAGGCAACCGACATATTGATTTGATGCAGCTGTTTTGTAATCCCTGGTTCACGACCTTCATCCTGAAACTTGCTGGAGTTGTTCTTGGCAGTCTCAAGTTCAACTTTGCAAAAAGCCAACTAGATAGCCTCCTAATATCTGTGATTGTTAACTATATTATGTTCAATTTGTTTACTCTGTTTAAGGGTGCATCCGAAAACTATCTTTAAGCTCAGTACATTTTCTCTTCATTTGCAAATTTCAATTTTTTCTTGACTTTCAAAATTCTTATCACCTGTCTGTTTTCTCTTCATTTGCAAATTTCAATTTTTTGACTTTCAAAATTCTTATCACCTGTCTGTTTGACAATGCATCAGTAATGAAATGAGAAAGTAGCCATTGAGAAGTCTCAATAAGTTCTTACCCAGATCTAAAGCTTCACCAAAATTGTGTACAAATTCTTGTACCATCAGTAAGTCTGCAAATGCACCTCCAGGTATCTGAAGACCTAAGACTCGTGCCAACTCAGGTAAGGCCTTAAGAAAAAAAATTGAAAATTAATTTATTGTCTGTATAGTATATAGTGGAAAGCTGAATTTGTAAACTTAATGATAAATTGACAAACTGTGACAACTGTGAGAACACAAGTGAAACTGATGAACAGTACCATCCAGTTATAATAAAAAGGTAGTCTGTATTTGAGCCAAGTTGTCCATCAGGCCGGAGCTTATCTCGTCTTCTGTAGCATGAAGCAACTTGTCTCCCCCCTGGATGACATACTAGTCCATCGCACGGTTACCCCCCTCCCCCAGCATTAAGTTCTCTGGTACCCATTTATACACCTGGTTGGAGAGAGGCATTGTGAGAGTTAAGTGTCTTACCCAAGAACATATCACACAATGTTCCTGGCCAGGGCTTGAACCCAGATTGCTCGATCCAGAGTTTAATGCACTAACCATGAGGCCACCACACCTTCCACACTCCAATTAGAGTTCAAAACTAGGGCACATTCGACATGCCCTCATGGCTTTACTTTATCTTCTTTCAGTTCAAAAATGAATTATTACCTTACTATCCTTGAGTACCATGTCTTCTACTGGTTTCTTTAATTCACGAGCTAAGATCATTTCTCTTCTCTTTTGCTCCTATAAAAGATTGTTATCCAAACATGAGAAGAGGGTTTTATGTATGAAACAGATGACACAAATGTAGGTGGACAACAACCTCTACATTTATAGCAATAGAACAGCAAATTAAACAAAAAAGTGACTGGTGGTCAAGATATAACAATCACATTTCTTACAAGTTTTTTCTCTCTCAACAACTTCTTTTCCATCTTCTTCTCCTCCTTTAATCTCTCACGCTCCTGAAAACAAGCAGGACAGAGACTTACTTCTCAACTTTTTATTTGGTGTTGGTTTTTTTATAACATCAGGTAAATACATATGAATGTCACACCTCTTGTTTCCTTTGAGATTCAATTGCTCTTATCATCATTTGCTGCTGTTTCTTCTGTTCTTTTTCCTGTAGCAAAGATCAAGGCAAAGCTAAATCCAGTGAAAAACAACCTTACAGTAGAAGTACTATTAGAGAACTAAAAGTAAAGTTCTACATGATTGTATGCTAGTTTGTGTATGAAGTCTGCCCAAGCTTTATCTTATTGTGCCTCATTTCAGGCCAAACTATAAATAACATTTTTTAAAAGCATACTACATACCTGCTGCTTAAGTAGGACAGCCTGTTGTCGTTTAAGTTCCCTTTCCTGAATAAAAACAATGAAAATTAGAGACGCCATTTCAAACAAGGACACTTTCAGCAGAGAGGAAATATGACATGACATTCCATTACATTGTGTAATATGTCATATTTAGTTTCTGCTTCAAAGTCAAACCACAATCAAGTTATTAGGGAGCTTAAGAAAACCACGACGATGACAGCAACGAGAATGTCATGAAACAAAAGGTATAATGAGCAGAACAATGGCTGTGCATGTGCATTATAAATCTTTGTACATTTCTTGGCCGTCCTCTCCAAAACAAGAATATGAAATGACCAAGTTCTGCATAGTTTGAGAAACGCAAGCAGTGACATCTAATTTTTTATATTTCCATTTGGAATTGAACACTGTCATTGCTTATTAAGCCTGACCAGGTTTTTTAGAGCCATTGGCATACTGAACGGAACTAGACAATTGCAAATTTTGCTGGTAAACTATAAATTCATTTTGGACAAGGCATCATCCTCAGCATCTCTGTTGTTGTTGCTCAAGCTCCCTAATCTAAACAGAAAAGTTTGTTTTTCTAAAAGAACTAGACCCACAGCCTATTCTTTACCTTTGCCTTCTTCATGGCATCTTCATACTTGGCATTAGCTGCATCTTCCTTCTTTTTTCGACGAGCCTGATGAAATGATCAATTACCAGTCTGTATGACTACTAATGTTTACAGGGTGCAAAGGAAACCAATCTCCATGTTTGCCCTTCAAGAGTTAATTTGATAAACAAGCCTGCAAATCTTTCTCACTCGGCCCACCCTCCTCCCCCCCCTCCCCCCCCCCAAAAAAATCTCTTAATTATACTTCCACAGACTTGCAAGTAATCTGAATGTCTTGAAAAACGTTCCCAAAAAAACCTTAGTTTACCCATCAGGACAGACCCACAAGACCAGCTATGAAATCCACCAGACCCTGGCTATTCAACACAAGTTTCTTTGCATTCTGGTTTTATAGTCACTGATGTTTCTACCATGTCACCTAAGCATGCTATCTGATAAAAGTTTTAATTACATTAGGAGCTTTGCCAGTTGTGGAAACAAGCTAAACAGGAAGAATTATATGCAGTAGCTCACCAGCTGCCTCTGCTCTCTAGCCCTCTCTTTAGCGAGCCGCTTCTGTTCTGCAAGCATCCTCACTGAAAATAAAAGGAAGTAAACTCTGTCAGATCAGTCTGCTAAATACCATCGCTTCAAAAAGTATAAAAGATATGGCCACTTGGACTTAAGAGATTGCAGGGCAAGTAGCAATATACAGGTACACTCTTAACAACTGCCTCATAAAGTGGATGTTGGGTACCCGAGACACCCAGGAGTTTGCACTATTGGCAGCCAGCTCCTAGATGCTCCCATGGCTGGCAAATCCTGGCAACCCAGCCATGAAAAATAAACAGCAAAGATCTATTTATGCATTATTTACCTCTCTCTTTTTTGGCTTCTCGTGCTGCTTGTAGAGCTTCTCGCTTCATTGCCTTATTACGCATCCTTGCCTCAGCTATGAGAAATCAAGCAGACGCGTCACATTTGTACCGTGATAAGGTTTTATTTTGTATCAATAACATTTATATTGTAACATGGAACATGATACGTCAACAAACACCACACAAGTCTCTTTCGTCAGATACATCTTGAAATGAAACAGGGAAGCTCATTTTACACCGCTGCATCCAAAGACACAGTTTGATGCCAGAGAAAAACCATTCTTGCATCAAACGAACAACATGACAAACCCAAACACTCTGAAGAATTCTGATGACACCAGCATCACTTGAAACATCATACAGTCGCTTGCTCCACAATAAACCATTGACGAGAATGACATACCAAACCTGTCTTAACTTGATGATGATTTCCAACAATTTTTAAATTTGGAATGATTAACATCACTGATCTGGGAGTGGTTTACAGTGACACAAGCACACAAAACAAAAATTATTCAATATTTTTACAATAATATTGCCATGCCTGCACAACAGTATTTTATTTAAAACTCTCAAAATTTTAAAAGCAATGCCAGCAAGCCATAAATACGTGAATTTGATAAACACCTCTCTCTCTTTTGGCCATCTTAACTGCTTCCAAAGCAGCTTCGCGTTGCACTTTTTCTAGTCGTTTAGCTGCAGCTGCTTTTTGGGCCATTTCTGAAATGAAATGGTCAGACATGGCCAAAAATGTTAAGTACAAGATTAAGTGGACAAGCGTGTCTTAAGACAGGTGACACCGTCCTGATAAGACACACATGTTGGAATTATTTTGTGATGCACATACCATCACATTACATGATTGATGGCATATGCTTCTGTTAAATAACTAAGTTAGCATTAATCATATCAATAACAAAATTCTTGATTGTGATTGGTTCTCCACAGACCTGAATTGCTGTAAATTGGAGCACACACATCACAGGTGTCCAATTATAACTGCTGTAAATATTTCCATTGATTTGTTGGTTCTGTCAGTAGAACCAATGGAACATAACTAAGTTTTTTGGTAACGAAGGCTAATAAAGCATTCTGAGTCTTGAATTTTGTTAGTGATATGATTCATTGGCAATAGGACTTTGTGTCTTACAATTCAGGAATAATTGTACCAGCATTTTCAAATCAGCCTCCAAATTAACACCGGTTTGCTTTTAGTGTTACTTGTTGGGTTACTCTCTGAATTGCATCCACTCAGTTCTATTACCATTACAAATTAGCATTACTCTTAATTAACCTCTTTCTCTCTTGGCCATCTTAGCAGCATCCATGGCAGCTTGCCGTTGAGCCTTTCTTAAAAGTTTAGCTTCCGCAGCTTTCTGTACCATTTCTGCAGTGAAATTGAAATCACCTTCACTGAATCAAATTTGGAGCACAACTCAAACCTTTGCAAAAGTATGGAGCAAGTTTTTTTGGCGGACAGCGCATGTCCAGTTTTCTCTCAAGGGAGTCAAAGCTTGAAGACAAATTTCATTTGTAGAGCCTCAGTAGCTTCGACTTGAAGGGTTTCATCTAAAGGTACTGAACATCAGCTTTACACTATCAAGATACATGTAGAAGGTGTTTGGAGCCCTATTGAGGTAGATACAGCAGCATGTGCCAGTGAGAAATCCAACATTACACTTTTCTCATCAACTCAATCAGTTAATAGTTTGATTCCTCAGAACAATCTGAACTGGGCAGTTAACTGTCAAAAAGATATTTAAAAACTTGGCAATCCCAGACGTACATCAACCAATCAGAAGGCTGGTAAACATTCGCAAAGTTTATCAGTATCACACAGATGGTAAATAATGGTGATCTCCTATCGTTTTCAGTATTCATTCTCGCAAACAAAGCAAGTGTGAATTCAAAGAAAAAATGCATAATTTGTAGGAAATATCATCAGTGTAATCTGCTTTATTCTCCTCAATTGATTAAGTGATATAAGTGATATCAACAATTCACCTTTACAGCTGCTTAAAATAACCAGAAATATTTCAGCTTTTTACTACACAAATTCAAAATACTTCACACCTAAGTAACACACTGTATTTCACAAAAGATCAAACTACATCACATCACCCTGTACTTGTAACATGTAAGCAGTTTACCTCAGCAAAACATCAATCAAAAGTTATGCATAAGTGTTCGACAGGCCAATTTCAAAATACTAAAATTTTTCTAACAAGGCTAAAAGGCTTAGAGGACTAAAGCTAAAGAAATCATGTTGAGGCTGAGGCATAAATAAAAATTTTCTTCTTTTGTTTTAACCCTCTAAGCCTCAGTGCTATCATTTTTATTAACATTTCAAAATTGGCCTATTTTATACTAAGAATTAACAAAGTACGTTAAATCATACCAGCTTGTTTTTGCTTCTTCTCTTGTTTTTTGTTTAGTTTTTCCATTTTGGCTTGGTTCTTTTCCTCTTCAGCCTGTTTTCTTCTGTGAACTTCCTCCTCTGGCAGAGGTTCAAAAACAGATCCCTGATAAGAAACAAGATAAAAATCCACTGAGTTTCAAGTGTATTCATCTCACATGTCTAACTTCTCCTTACAAGACACAGTGCTGTCAACAAGATAGGTGCTGAGAATAAACAAAACCATGAGCCTAGACCAAGAGAAGGGTGACCAGATGCAGAAGCAGATTCTCCAGATGAACTAACATAATAGTGAAGTGAGGAGAGTTAATATTTCAAGCTTGAGACCAGAAAAGTTAAATCAACATTTAACAATGAACTATATGTCTAATTGTTTGACAAGTTCTTCCAATAGCACCCAAAAAGGTAATTTCCGAGTTCCCTTCTGCCTCTGTTTCAAAACAAGTCTAAGTGCAAAACTATTCTTATGAAAATGATTTTGATTTATATGAAAATGAAATGGTAAGGAGAACTCATTTTTATATGAATGGTTTCGCACTTAGACTCGTGTTGATGCAGAGGCAAAAGGACACTTGGAAATGGCCTATTGCATTTGCCTGACTGATTGCAATCAACAAGGAACATGGCCATTGAAACACTCACACAAGAACCATATTTTAGTTTTTTAATGGAATAGTATAATGTGTTAGATACACTAAATGTGCACATGCATTAAAGCAAAACCAACAAACCTCTTTACATTCCAGAAACTCTCCAATATGGAGTTTTGTACTAAAACTGAAGTTTTCCAGAGTTACATCAGTGATGCCATTCTTGTTAAGGTACTATGGGAAAAAAAAACAATCTCTTTTTAATTCCTAAAGACTAACAACGATAGGCTCTTCCTGAGTTGGTTTTTACCTCCAATTCAGAAAAATGCCTGTTCAAAAATGATTATGGCTGGAAATTTTTGTTTTTAACACCTGAGTGACAGACAACCAGGAAGTAAATGTATGTATCAGTTGAAAGAACAAGATTGAGGCAAACCTATGCTAAAGCAATCAAAAAGTTTCTAACTTGGTAAATTTAGAAAGACAGAAATGGCAGCTTTGTCCAAGCTCCAATTTGGCTTGTACATGTAGGTTCTACATGTATTTCTTCTAGTCTCTTTAGCTTGTAAAAACAGCTATTCTTACAGTATTTGAAAAAATTCAAACTCGGCATACAGGTAGCTGCCATGTGATTCAAACTAAACACAAAGGTAAAGGTGAAATGTGGACAGCTTGAGTTTGTAATTGTTTTGAAGTCAACCTCTCTAATACCAAAAATTTAATAAAAGTTTCAAGTCCAGATCTTAAGAGCAGTACCGAGGTATGCACAGAATACTACACCAAAACCTGACTAGTCAAAATTGTTTTGGCCAATAAAACCTGACATGTCAGCAGTCACTATGCCACCATATTAAATTGTTAGAAGTGAGTCTTGAGTACTGCTGGAATTTACCATGATCAGCTTTTATTTGTTTCCTCAACTGGCTTGATCATTGGCAGTGATAAAGAACATTGAACTCAGAACTTGAAAAAAAAATTGAATTCAGGCTTTCCCTTCACACAAGCAGCTCTCAAATTTTGCTTTCTCTACCAGGTCTTAGTTTACTTTTTTATTATTTTAGTTTTAGCAGATGACTTGCCTGAGCCGTTGTCCATCGAGCAAGTTAGAATGAAAAGTTACATGTACTTGCCAGCAGGAGAATCTACATGTCCTGGATGACCAGATAGTACTTTTTTTTGAGCCCTGAACATACTAAATCAAGTTCTCACTGGCAAAGTAGCTATACTCCCCATACTCACTCGGGTAACCTCGGGATATGTACGAAGTTTCTTCCCACAAGGAGCAAAATAGTACACATCGCCTCTTAGACCACCAGAAGCACCAACTTGACGAAGGCGGGTCTGACGTCGCCACCTACAAAACAAAACACAATTCCCACTTACCAAAGGAAGTCTGGATATCAATATGTTCTAGACAATAAATAAATATTCTGTCTCATGAACTTGAAAGATAAAACACGCATGGATATTCAAAATTAGACAAGATTAAAGCAAACTATTTAATATATATTAAATTCACTTCTGTGATCTGTTTAAAGCTAAGATTTATAGTTGATTAAATATCTCATTTCCATTTCTAATCTGCAAGGTTAGTAATTAAAGATAACAGAGAGAAATAAAAATAGAGTAGCTGAGCACTTTCAAAGTAAGATAAGCAGAACAAAAATGTTCAATTTGATTCAATAATAAACAGATTAAAGCTATTTAACAATCTAATACAAGTTTGAATATGACTGGTTTGGCATTTATCGTGAAATAAATGTTGCTCCTAGATAATCCTCTTGCTTACTTTGGGATTTTTCACTACATACTACAAGTCTCCTTAGAAGAGCACAATATACAATACCTTCTGCAGTCAGTAACAGAGAATAGTTAAAAATACCATGGAGTTGAAAAACTATGGAATTTTAAGTTTCTTAAATGATCATTCAAATAAGCATTAGTAGGAGTTAATTGACTTGATTATGTAAAGCTATTTTGAGAAAAACAATTTATGAAGCATTTTGTCACATGTACCCCTTAGCTAGAGGAATCTGGACTGCTTCTTCATCCACTGCTCGACGTCTTTTTCTAGGAGTCCCTACAACAAATTTTTTCAAGATGTAAATGAATGAACTGTTTTATTGAAAACTGGACACATGCATGCAGTTGCAATGTATCTAAATCAGGCAGATTAATACATTCTAAAGAGCTTAAGATAACAATTGAACTGCAATCCAATTACTGCATTCTATTGTTTCAGACAAAAATTTAAAGCGTTTAATCACAAGCAACGCCAGACATTTTGACATTATTTTTTAAGTGCATAAGATAGTGATTCCCAGTAAACTGCCAAGCAAATTCTTGCTGCTCCTACTGGAACAATCACATGTATGTATTTACATAAAGTTTAATTGTCTCAATTTAAAAAACCCTTCGATCCTTGACACCAAACACAATTACTTTTAAAGTTCAAGTGTAATCAATAAAATAAAATTCACCACTCGTAAAATTCATAGGAACCACATCCGGGACTCAGGTGTTGTATTTTCCATCTCCTCACTAGTAAAGATATTGATGACTTCACTGATGTCATGTTTGACCATTAAACTGTACTTAAATTTGTTCATGAATGATCAAAACATCTTCGGATCTTCCTTGAAAGTCTTTGGCAATCTTCCATTACCTTCAGAAATCTTTGGTAATCTTCTGAAATTTTCGGAAAATATTCAGAAACGCTGATGTGGGCTTTGGACAATTTTTTGGGAATCTTTGGAAATCTTCGGAAAGTGGTCAGAAATCTTCGGAGAATTGTCAAAAATGCTGTTACCGGTATGTTTATATAATAAACAAAATAATACATGGTTGCTTGAAGATATGGAAGATCTCTTCACAAGTTGAACTTTGTATCTCACTCATGTGTTGCGCTCACTCTGAGATATCGCATTGAACGTTCGAAGAGATATTCTGTATCTATACTTTCCCATGCATTTTCCTCTCTATACTGTTTAACTAGAAATTCATATTTAAATATCAGACAATGTAAGTGCAACTTTATAATCACAAGAAAAACATTTCTTGCTAAAAAGTTGTATCATGCAGCTTTAAATTTGTTTTCTGTATGAAATATTTCAAGCAAGTTTAGAGTCTCACTGTCTCATATTTATATTAGTAATAATCTGAAAAACAAGGAAAACAAACAACAAGCTGAACTTAAAACCAAAGCCAGTTATAAACCTCAGTCCTGCATGCAGTATACAACTTTAGCAATTTCATTAAACAGCAACATGTATGCTGCATTGTATCAGGTTCATGAAACATGACATTTTACATGTCCTTGATCCTTAACGTTCAAGAACTTTTTTTCTCGAGCGTTGCCCTTTTTAACAGCCAATCAGAGGAATCCCAGGTACTGTACATAACACTTTCAAGTTTACTGCGAAGTTAAATTGTGCTTAATTACCTGTAGAGCTTTGATCTGTTTTCCTTTTGCTTGAAGAATAAGGCATTTCCTCAAAAGATGCCCCACTTTCCTGGGTTTCCATAGTAACATCATCCTCATCCTCTTCATCATCGTCATCATCATGCTGTTCCCCTCCCTCTTCTTCCTCATCACTGCCATCACTGTCAGTGTCACTGCCGCTGCTGTCTACTTCATTTTCACCTTCCTCGCCTTCCTCACTTTCATCATCACTGCCGCTTCCACTTTCACTGCCACTACTTACATTGCTGCTGTCAGTGTCGTCATCACTGCTATCCTCATTGTACTTTACATCGCGGAAGTGTGCTATTAAAGGTGGCTTACCTGATGGAACCTTTGGCTGTTTTGGAGCTGGGCCAGATGTCGGCTTTTCAACCCCAGGTAAACCTTTTGAGGAGCTTGCCAATTTCTGTTCTGAAAGTGTACTTTTTGACTTGCTCTGCACTTCACCAGAGACTGCGCTCTCTTTTGTATCTGCCTTCAATAGTACCTGTTTAGCCTTTGTCGAGTTTGTAACCACTTTTTTTGTAGGCTTCAACATTTCCTCTTTAAGTAAAGAGGAAATCGCTTTTCCTGCTTTAATGTGAGGTTCGGGTTTTGTGGGAACAATTCCTTCAGTTTTATTTAAAATTGAAGTTGGCACTTGCAGTCGAGGTGGCGGGCCAGATTTCACTTTTTGCAGTTTTGGAGGTGTTGGCAAAGACTTACTAGGTTCCGAAATCGAGGCAATACTTGGTGACAAGTGATCCGCTTCTGAAATTCTTGTTGTTGTCTTACTTTCATTCTTTTTCACTGACAAACTATTTTGATGAGTTTGAACACTGCTCTTTTCACTATGCTCAGAGTGATCCGACTGTTTTTGAATGTTTGAACTGTTTTTTTCTGAATTTCGTTCAGGCAGCAATTTATTTCCAGATCTTGTGTCTGTATTTTCAGAAATGTTGTTGGTGGCCATTGTTCTTTCAATTTTAGCATCTTTTGTTCTTTCTTTGTGATGTGATACCACATCACTTGGTCTCATTTCACTGTCTTTATCATTACCTTCTTCACTGCAGTTACTCAGTTTTCTGTTCAATCGTGGTATCATGTCCAGATCACGGCTGTCTCCCAGATCAAGAACGCCCTTTCCATCATGGTTGCCATGACTACTCCAATGTGATAGTCCACTTTTAGAGTTATTGGTTGTGGGACTAGCTTGATGAACAAAACTGTGCATAGACTGTGGACTTGTGGGTGGAGGGTAAAATATTCCCGAGCCACTTCCAAAAACACTAGAAGAATTAACACCATTCATCATAGTACTCCTGGACCTGGCCGATGGATATAAGCATTCTTCAAGTCTGTCATGATTGGCAAGAGTACAGTCATGTTCGTGGGAAAGCCAACTTCCAGGGATGTGACTTGTGAAGTATTCCGGTGCAATTCCGTGGGCGTGAGGATGGGGCGGCATCCACCAACCAGCGCTGCCAGCACCACCAGTTAATGAACCATGCAGTGCTCCAGGGGAAGTCAGGCTGCTCTGGGAGCCCAATATTGGATCTAAAGACCCCCTAAAGTCTGGCAAACCTGGTCTTCTTCCCATCATAGAAAACGCACTGGGATGCATTCCATAAGAAGGATCGTGGGACAATGGGGGTGAACGAAGCACCGTGTTTGGATGGCCTACAACAAAAGATTCAAAAGACGAGTGACCAGTTTGCACCGAGAGACTAAACTACGAAAACTCTGAAACAAACCAGGCTAACTTTCAAGAAAGCATTCTTTGAAGAAAGATCACAAAACAACGAAAACGAAATCTCTACGAGGTTTGATTTGTAACGGCGAAATAACGCTAGGAAACCATTTGAACGAGACAGGACGTTAAAACACACCATCACCTGGATTGCCATCGAAAAAGCTGTGTGTATGTGCGGGACTGTGATTTGGGACATCTCGAGGATCCATTCCAGGGCTGCGAGGTATTAAGGACTTGCAGCTATGCCTGAGGATTAGAAATACGATGTCAACGGACGAAACAATAGATTAAATAGGTATGTTGGTGGCCACGAAATGCGTGCTTACGCCGAATCAGGAATATCGAGCTATAAGGGACGTATTATGCGTTGTTAATACACATGTTTATTTACAACTGTTAGAAAAACTATTTTAGAGTATTGTTCGATCGACCAAAGTTGAAAAAACCGTCAAGATTCCACACCAAAGCGATTTGCTTCGCCGACTATTTCCCCGCCCTGAATTTAACGACAAAATTCAAGCGAAGTTCGCAGAGGAAAGTTACAAACTATTTGATAAGGATAGGAAGCCTGGAAATACATTAAAATCGAGTTCTTACCGGCAAAAGTTGTTCTTGATATGCTTCTAGCTTTTTCTGTAACTTCCAGCCTGTCCCCTACATATCATCTGGCCTTCGTCGGAGAAAGACAAAAACAGCCATTTTGGATGGCGTTTTGAGGGAATTTTAAGTCTCGAAAGCTCAAGAAACCTGCAAATCGAGCTCTGGAAATGCTGCAACACGTGTGCAAATCTAGTTTATGAACAACTTAAGAGTCTCCGAAGTTCGAAATACTATGGAGTATTGAAGAAAGCGGCGAAACTTGGAATCAACATGAAAATTTACCTTTTAGGGTTGTTTGGTGCGATATTGAGGAAAGAAGGGCGAAGGAAAGCATAAAGCGCATGTGGTACGTGACGTCACAGAATTGTAAAACAATGCCTCGTGAAATAATCAAAAGTAAACTGACTCGCTACGCCACGAGTTACGGTAAAGAATTACCACTTTCATCTCATTACTCCTCCCCTCGAATACTCGCCAGTCGGCGACCGGAAAAGCTTCGTAGACAACATTTTTGCTTATTTAGCATTCCTTGAGGGAATCTTTTGCGATCACGAACTTAAAGTTAGCCACGACAGCGAAAACACTTGCCTTGAAATTCGCCGGTTGGTAAAAATGGAGCCTGAAGGAAAACCCTTGGTTGTGACTATGTAAATTTGCCAAAATCAAACGTTTCAAAATTGAAAACTTTCAGTGGTATTCTTCTCCGTGTTTGCTGACGCGAGCGAAGTTATTTCGATTGTGTAATGATTTGGAGCGATCGGCCCGTAATCGGTGGTGTTTGAGGAACTTTATAATCGTACCCCGTCCGAGTGGTTTAGCCCGCTACGGTGGTCTAAAAATACACAAGATCACAGTATGGTGGGACGCAACTAGTGTGGAAATGATCTAAATATATAAGAGAACATTTCATACAGTTAGAAATGACGAATACACGGCGAAAATCAAACAGTCCATGTGAAATACCTTGAACATTACAGACTCCGCCACAGGACAGGAAAATGAAGTAGTTGTTTGCCCTCCAAATCTCAAATTACCGAGGAAAATATTGTCGCTTTAGGCGAATATAACACAAGTTTTGGTTTTCAAGATTCAAAGAAAACAGCGTAGACGTGTAACAATTAAAAAATGCGGCTTTTTCATTATTTAAACATATCAGTCAGGTAGGGTTTTATTGCGGAAATTTATTTCCTTTCGATGGCAGGAATTTTACAGGAACAGTATACAAACAGTAACAATAACTCAATGAGGCTATTTGCACCGTTTTCCGATCTTACAAAACATCCAGCCGTCGATCGAACGCGAAAAGAATTTTTCTCCTGTCAGAGACGCCGCGCATTATTGGTTCCGCGAAATGAAAAGTTGATTTATGTAAAACACTCGAGAACATGAATTCTCTCAGGGATGTAAAAATATTACGAACTCGCGAGTCCGCGGCGACTGTTAAATAACAGAGTCATTACCCGTAAAACTATTGAATTCTCGTACGCTGATTGGTCAGAATTCAATACACATATTTGCATTTTATGCACTTCGTTCATCAACTGTCAAAACGAGACAAAAACAGAATCCAGAAAACCCAAACAAAGCGGTTAATTGGAGCTCCATCGAGATCGGGTCGACAAAGCAAAGCCCTCGGCAAACCAGGAGTCGCTTACCCTTAGAAACGAACAGAAAAGGATTAAATAAGACACACAGCAAAGAAAAGAACCCTGTCTTTTTGGAAATGCAAATTTTGCCCAGGCTAAGTCAATTTCCTTTGAGATAGGTAAGCAAAATAAGGCAAATGGTCCAATAAAACGGGCGCACATGTAGTAAATTTGAATGCCGTGGTAGAAATTGATCAGACCGATTAAAAATAGCAAAATAGACATACTGCCATTCCCTTGGTAGATGTTTATTATTTTTCGGTTGAAAATTGTTTGCCAAAGGTAAAAATATTTTGTACATAGCGCATACTATGCAATTCCTATTGTTTTCAAAATTGTATTTGTTATATATATATATTTTTTTTTTTTCATTCATTCATTTTTCTTCCTGCTCTGCGGGCGCTGGTACACTGCTCAAATTAATCACACATAACTGCTTGAAAACGTAAATCTCATATATTTCTAAACCTAACAAATAAGGAGAAAGATCTATTGTGGGAAAACTTGTTTTAGCACGTTTCTGAACGATGCTCTCATTTTATTATTCTGTACGTGCCGGTTTCATATTTCAAGTTACCTCAAATTTGTTCAAAGCGTGACTTGCGGTGCCTCTTAGAGAATGCGTGATATAAAGCTTTGTCGCGAATCAGGAGTCACGCGTCTGAAGTTATGATCCAAAGGGAAGTTTAGTAGGGATAAAGTTGTTGTTTCAATTATTTGATCCTTGATTTCCGGCTGAACCACCCCTACTCAGCGCGAAGGGAGTAAACCAGTTTAACCAGGCCGCTTTGTATAAACGTGTTGGGTTTGTTCCCAACTTAACACTGATTTAGACTGAATTCCATATTTTTATAAAAAAAAAATGTCAGTGGTCATATATTAAAAGGTTGGTTAGATTATATGGGGCGCTGAGGTTTGCTTCGCCGGACGTTCAGAGATAGTTTGTCCGAAACATAGCAAAGCAATATTCGCGATTTTAGAAAGACTTTTTTCGTGAATATAATTTAATTTATTTGCGTAAGAAGACTATAGTCTAAAGGAAGGATTTCCGGTTTTAGCAAGCTGTGCTGCACGCGACAAAGTTGAACTATGTAGTCAAATCTGCCGCGTATATGGGGAGAATGAAGAGAGCTCGTCTGATTCTGAAGTGTTTTACAAGTAGAGCACTTTCGAGTAGGGAGAGAATTACGGAGATCGGAAAGGGATTCTCAACAACACTGTTTGAAACAGAGAATCGAGGATAAACCCGAGGGGGACAAAGGATGACACGTGATCAGGGCAAAAATTAATGTATGACGCGTGAAAAGACACTTTTTCTTTTATTTTTTCTTTTAAAGAAATACGTGATTCGTAAATTAAAGTATATGTGACGCGTGAATTTTGTTAAAATCGTGCGTGAAACAGGATCACGACCTCCCCCCCCCCTCCCCCGCGCGTCCTCCTCTCCTAACCCTTTTGGTCAGCTCTTGCCTGGTATTCTTTGCTTATTGCGTCCTCAGAGCCCGCGAATTTTCCCTACATGAGCGAAAGGAGCGCAATTTTACGGGTCACCAAGGAGAGAAAAAACTTACCACAAAGAATGATTTGTTTCTCTCTCGGATAGAGAAGGCCTATTGGCTAAGCCCATCCCCCCCCCCCCCCCCCCCCCCTCACGAGTCCAACTTTACACCTCTTTGCAACAAATGCATCAATGATTAATAGTGATATTTTTAATTTGAACTGGCAAAAAGTAGCGGCCCCTGTGAAATGGTAGAAATCAATGTAAATCGTCAGGGGCATATATATGCTACTAAACATAAACATTTTCAACATGGCGTCCTTCATGTCGTATACAGGATAATAAGTAATGCAAATTGTGTGTTTTTCTCTTATGGAGGCTGGGGACGCTTTCCATTCGACCAAAAATTCCGAAATTTTCGAAACGGGGACAAATGGCACGGAAATTTCCAGGGAAAAGTTCCAGAAAATCCGGAAATTGTTGAATTTCCGAAAAGCGGACCATTCAACAGAAAATTCTGGAAATGCCGGGATGAAAATCAAATGGAACAGAAATTTCCAGAAAAATATGTTCGAAAATTTGGGTATACCTCACGAGGTTGTCCTCTTTTTCGGAAATTATGCAAATTCGCTATTTCCTATTCATCAGCGCTAGTTCTTTTGGCCGCGATGACAGTAGCCTGCAGTGCAGGCGTCTTATTGGGGCGAGTTAGCGTTACAACCTTGCGACCGCCTTTTTAGACCGCCATGTTAGACCGCCATGTTAGACGGTGGGGGATGGGGGAAAAAAAAACTTTCTTTCTCTTCCCAGTCTTCCATTGCATGAAAAATTCAAGATGGCGGCTAAACTTTTTACGATGTGNGAAACTGACTGACAGACAATTGACAGGCAGGGTCAAGCTGCACCAATCAGAAACTCCGTTCGTGGGCGAACAGAGTTTCCTAAAAGAACAATGACCTCGGGCAGGCAAGATTTTCTTCGCTCCACCCCTCCCCTATCCTTCCTCTTGCCTATCATTCAACCCCTTGGTAAAAGTTTCTTTCTCTCCCCAGTCTTCCACTGCATGAAAAATTCAAGATGGCGGCTAAACTTTTTACGATGTGAGCGCTCGCTCGAAAAAATCTCGCCTGCTCTGCAGGCTACACACAATTCTTCTCCTGCAGGGTTTGTTTCAACTGTAGAACAGCAAAAACATAGAAATTCTTCAATTAGTGACCGTAGAACATGGTTTTTGTTACCATTTTTATTTCTTCGGTAACATAAGAAAATAAATCCTCAAAATTAACTTACAATACACTACGTGCATGTTGTCGGTTAACAAAAGCGTAACATCGTGTTCACACTTTGGTACATCATGCGTCTTTTGCATATATCATGCAAAGTGCATCATACATCATGCGTCGTTACATAAGTATCGTGAAAAGTGGATCGTACATCATGCGTGGCTAAAGAAGTATCTTGTATAATGGATCGTGTGCATCATGTGTTAAGAAAGAAGTATCCTGTATAATGCATTGTGTATAATGCATCATGTATTGTGTGTCAATTGAAGGATCATTATCATGCAAATAAGTATTGTTTATCTATTTTTCTGACGTGCATGTAAATCCAGCGTGCAAATTTATAAATGCTTTTACTGTATATTGTGTTTGCATTTGAGGACCTGTTGGGAAAATTATCTGCAACATTGTCCTGCCTTTGTTTTGTGACAATTGTTTATTAAAGATAATTATTTATCTCTAAAAGTCATGAGCTACAATATTTATTGTGGAAAAAAATCGTCCTGAATAGAAACAACAGGTCATGTACAAGTAGACTTGTGCCAGGCAGCCATATTCGCAGTGTACTTAGGTTACAATTTGTTGTTTAGGTTCATTGGAATGTAACAACTTTGCCCTTGGGCCAGGCTGAACACATGCGAATATCTAATGTACTTAATGCTAAATAGCTGATAGCTCACCTCTTGTGCTGGTTTCTGACCCTTCCGAAGCAAGCTTTAAATAAATGGCAAAGGTGAGACTGAAAGTGTGGCATGAAAAACTCATGGTTTGAAGTATATGGAAAAGGTAATCACATCTCTCACAGGCATTATTTCAACAACTCTGAGTGAGCTATTATTCATTTCATGGTATTGCCATGACGTCATTGATTATGGAAAACGATTGTGCTGTTGTTTATCACCATGGTTACACAAAATAAATACCAACCCACGATCATGCTTCTTACTAATCGGCAATTTTTTGTGAAAAAAAAAACGCGTAGTACAAGCTATCAGTGAAGACAAGTTCTTGACATCCCCGAACAGGTAGAGCTCTTTGCTTTATAAAAATTCTGCAGCGTGACATGTCTGACCCGGAAACTGTTTGACACTGTTCTTAGGTGTGCACATAAATCAATAAATATGCATTCTATCGCGCAACTAAGAGACAGGAGATCCCATGAGATAACACAGCGCATGCGCTAGATCATTGCACGGTTTGCGCTAGAAAGCGAAGGACCTACTTGACGATTTTCCACACCTTTGGTCAAAGATTCTTTGAAAATTCAAGTGAGATATATGAAGTACATCTCGACACAGGCGAGCCAACGTGGTTGACTTAACGAATGCCTGACTTATTGTTTTATTGCACTTTAACGTAGTTGAAGCGATATCGTGTTTCCTGCCACAAGACTCTGTCATGGCGGACGAAGAATCCTTGGAGGTTATTTTAAACGCCACCACTCATCCAGATGTACGAAATATCTTTGTTGAATTGCTTGGTGAAGTGAAGAAGATGAATGAAAACTTCACGAACATATCCT